GATGGATGTACTATCAGACTTAATTGATTTAGGTCAAACCAGTGTATGGAACTTCAGTTCCAGGTCCCCTCCTGGTTCACGTTAACTTGCAAACCTTCAGCATCCCAGGATGCTGTGCAGCCCTGGGCTGTGCTCTCTGCTGTAGTGGAGCAGGGCTGAGCCTGCCCCCAGCAGTCAGTGGGGGCTTTTCCATCCCCCACAGCTGGGAGCCAGGCCAATTTCCCCCAACTCTGCCCCTTTCTCAGCCAGGGGCAATCAGCCTGGCTCCCAGCACAGGCAGGGGGAGTAAAGCCCCCACTGTGGGCTTACCACCCACCCCCTGCACAGCCCAAGAGGGGTCCAAGCCAGGCTGAGGTGGGGGAGGGCGATGACAGGGGACATTCCCCACCTACTTCTCAGCCAGCTGCTGGCCCAGGATGGGGCATGGCCAGGTGCTCAGCTTGGTTCCTGGCTTCCAGCTGTGGCAGAGGGAGTAAAGCCTGGCTATTCCCCAGCCTGTGTCAAGTACAGACTGTTGGGGGTCCAGAGCGGGGTGGGGTGTATATTTCCCACCCCATTCTCTCCTCAGCCAGCCTGCCAGCCCAGGAGGGGCATGGCTAGGAGATCAACCCAGCTTCCAACTCAGACGGGGGGAGTAAAACCCTCACTGTGAGCTTCCCACCCACCCAGCTCCAGACCCCAGCCAGGCTGTGCTCAGCACAGGCAAGGGGGAAGCCCGTAGCAGAGGGTTTACTCCCCCCGCCCGAGCTGGAAGTTGAGAGCCAGGCTGAGGAGGAAGCATGCGGGGAAACCTCCCCATCCCTTGCTCAACCCAGTCACAGCTCAGCTGGGGGTCCACAACCAGGGTGGGGGCTGTTTTTTCCCCACCACTCCCTCCTCAGCTGGCCTGCCAGTGCAGGAAGGGACATGGCCAGGTGATCAGCCTAGCTCCCAGCTTCTAGCTCAGGTGTGGGGAGTGAAGCTCCTACTGTGGGTTTCCCGCCTGCCTGCACTGGGCATAGCCCGGCTGGGGTCCAGAGGTGGCCCACCAGGTGAGGAGGGGGTATGGCTGAGTGATTGGTCTGGCTCCCAGCTCTGGTGCAGGAAGTAAAGCCCCCACTGCAAGCTTCCCCACCACCCCCACCCCATGACAGGCACAGCCCAGCCAGAGGTCTGGAGCCAGGTGGGGGTGCATTCCCTCCCCCCTGCTGCCCAGCTGGCCAAGGAGGGGACACCAGCTCTGGGTTGCAAAGGAATGGGGGGGAGGGAGAAATGCCCCACTGGGGGCTTCCTCCCTTCCCTCTGCACCAGGGAGACCCCAGCTGGTGATCTGATGAGAGGGTTTCCCTCATACCGGCTCCTCTGCTTGCCTGCGGTTGCGAAGAGGGCATGACTAGGGGATTTGCCCAACTCTGGGCATGGGGAGAGAGGGAGAAATGCCCCACAGGGCCTTCCCCCTGCCCCTCTCCTCTGTGCCAGGGAGACCTTGGGAGGGAGGTTGAGGGGGGTTCCCCCCATGCCCGCTCATTAGCAGCCAGCAGCTGAGGAGAGGGTATGTCTGGGGGAAATGGCCAGGCTCTCTGCAGAGGCCACAAGGCTGGGAGGTGAGCTCTACTGATATGGGCCACTGCAGGGGTCTGATTGCCTTTCCAGTTTGAAAAGTGAATGTGAGTTCACTTGCTTATCAGCTCAATCTAGACAGTTTAGAGAAACCGGCAATGATTGAATCAATTCAGCCTCAGGTTTTTTGACTGTCTGTACTTAGCCATGGTGGTGCCTCACATTTTTGGAAAAGGAGATTCTGTGTTTTATACCCACTGTTGCTATGAATGGTCACAGTATACTACACAGTAAAATATTGCGCTGCACGGTGAAAAATGCCCTAATAACTATAGTTTTGTTATATTATCTTATGTATTTTTCCCTGAGAAAGATACCTTTATGGGCCAAAAAAAAAAAAGAGAGGCTATCCTCAGATGCTGAGGTAATTGAACAGATCAGAGTAAGTCTTCTAAGTTGCATTTTTGGGGGTTAATTAATAAAAACAGGAATATTCCTGACAGGATGATTATCTGCTGGAAGCCAGCTGGACATACAGGAGTAAGATCAAAACAATTCTCTGTTTAGCATCATTTGCACTGGGAAGAAGTCATTCTGATGTCTTGTCAGTTGTTGACGGTTGTAGACAGTCGCATGCTACTGGGACTCCCTTATCACTTCACTGGGACGGTGACAACTGGATGGCCTGGTCTATAAATAAATTTGCATTGTTAACCTTTTTATTAAAAGAGCCAAAATGGCTGGGACTCTAAGGATAATACAATGGCAACTTCTCCGTCTTGTGATGATTTCTGTTTGTCCCCAGTGTCTTTAGCCTGTGGCTTTGGGAAAACTATTGGGCAACAATATCAAGGCACTTTCTTGACCTGCCAGATGACATGGTCAGGAGGAAGCTCCTACATTTTCTTGAGCACTGACAGATCCATAGTGGGCTGAACTAAACTGACCTTGCCCCTTTCAACAGAAATATGTTGAACTAGACTCTCTTGTGTGAGAGAAGGGGAAAGATGACAGTAAAGATGATAATTTGAGAAAAGGATCATTGACTTTAATTTTCTTAAAGGAATAGGAGAAGGAGAAGGGACTAAAAGCTTCTGAAAATGAAATTTTGTGTTTTGTATTAAAGAGAAGAGTATAATTTTATCAGGGGACAATAATATGGGGGTCTCTTAATTTTTGTTTTCAGCAACAGTTTCAATATTTTGACTGCTACTGTGCACACTAGCCTGAATGCTAGCAAGTTATTGCTCATCTGCCTCTCCTGAATTTAATGCAGTAATGGCAAGATCTGCAGATTAGAGAACCAGAACTTGGTGCTGTAGGAAGCGCTGAGTAGAAGTGCAGTTGGAACTGAAGGTTACTATGTTTTTCTCCACTGCCTCCTTGAATAAATTTCATTCTTTGATCTTTCATTATATAAATTATAATGAAGAAGAGGACAAAAAGGACAAGTAGTCAGAAAACTGGAATTTATAATACACTGTAATCCCATAGAACATGAGAGAAGTAGCCTCATTTATTCTCTTCTGTGTTCTTCATCAATGGCAATAAAAGGGTTTACTGGAACTCTTACAATTATGGAATTTTAGAAAGAGGGATTGGAAGAGGCTATTTTATCCAAGGCAGGATCAACCTAATTGCTCCAAACTGGTACGCTTCAGTTGGTATTTTCTTCACTGAACACAGGCCAAGTTGGAGGGACACACACACACCTGGGTCCTGATGTTCAAAAACTGTTGAGATGGGCACTACATAACTGGTCAGACAGATTGGCAAGTGCCAGACCTCAACTCAGAAAGGTATCTGTAAAGCATAACAACAATCCGAATATTTTGCAAACAGTATTACACATTTCTGTTATCAAGGTGTTCTTCATGTTGTCCACACTCACACACTGCTATGAACAGACAGGTTTATGAAGACATCTAGTAACAGGGGATTCTAGGAGATGTTATGCCAAAGGATCCCACCCAAACTGTGGGTTTGGTGGCTTGAAACAAGGCTTGATGGTGAAATTAAAACTGCTTGAGCTAAAAGCTGGTGCAATATCTGGTGTTTATTCTCATATTGCACAAGCCATGAAGGGGAGAAAAAGACCTTCACTCAGTGTGGGTTTCCTAAGGGTCACTGGAGGAAGAAATGAGAGGGCCAAAGCTAGGGAAGAGATGCCTAGGGGAGAGTTCCCAGGGGAGAGGTGCAATACGGTTCTGCTACACAGGAGTTCCAGGAGAAATGGCCACGGTTTCCTGGCTCATTGCTTAATCTGAATCAGGGTGATGCAGGTATCCACTAACTCCAGTGACTCAATATGGTACTTCCCCAATGACAAGCTCCTCTCACCTCCTCCTCTTTCATCTGCCATTCCCTTTGCACAAAGGCTAGCATCAAGCACCCCAAATCACTGCTTCAAAGTGTCAAAAAGCTCCTGCAGACTCTGTACTAAGCTGCCTCCTCCTTACTTTCCCATCTGCCAAACCCCCATCTGACAACACCTGACAAGATGCACTCATGCTTTGTGCAAAATCTGTTTCCCTTAGCACAGGATGCATCATTAGACAGTCGGAGTGGCCTGGTGTGCCAGAGCAGAAAGCAGCAAATAGATGAGGCCCAAACATCCACCAAATAAGTTATTGGCACATTCAATGCAACTGCCTATATTTTCTCCTGTTCCTGGTTTTGCCACCAGCCTGCTGTATGACCTTGGGGAAAACCATCTCACTTCCCAGTTCCTCAGTTTCCCTTTCCCACCTTTGTTCTTTGGGACTGTACAATCTTCAGGGCAGGTTTTATGTCTGTATGTACAGTGCCTAGCACAATGGCCCCACAGCACAGAGTGATAAGGGTCTCAGTTGAGGGTAGTGTAATCCATGTTGATGATGATAATCAGGGATTGAAATACGGGGGGATTCAGTGAGGAGAACTGAGCCCTCCATAAGATATGAGAGTCCCTCATAAGACTCTCACCCCATGCCTTTCTAAGCCGCTCAGGTGGCAGCAGTAGCGGTGGCAGCAGCTCCTTCCAGCTGCTACTGGCACAGACCCCCCCCCAGAGTTGGAGTGTAATTCGCACCTTGATGATAATAACAATTATAATAATAATTAAAAAGAAACTTTAAAACCCTTTAAAATGGACAGTCCTGTATTCTCATAAATAACAGTAAAGAGTCTTCTGCCCATGACCTGAAGGTTAGGCTGGCCATTTCCTAAATGATCAATATATTGTTTTGTGCTCTCAGTAATTTGAGATGAATAATTCTTGCCCTATCTTTAAAAATAAAATTCACTCTGCAAAACAAAATGTCCTAGGGGCAGTACACGAGAGCCAGCACCTTGGCCTCAGCTTCTTGGATGAGCTCAGGACTTGGAACACTGCACCAACGTTGGGGTGGCCATGAAAATGCCCTGCAAAGCAGCATTCGCCGACGGTCTCTTTAAGAAACTGGAGGGGTGTGTGGCTGGGGCTTCAGGCCCTGCACAGCTCTCATTGGTCTGCAGCAGCAGGAAGTAGGAGGTGGAAAACTCAGCTTTCTGCTTGTTGTTATCTCAGCTGCAGGGTGAGGGGGGAAATGTCTGATTTGCACGATTCCCTGGGATTTTGGAGGGGCTGGGGGGTTGCATTTTAGCAGGGGGGGGCTGGGAGCTCCTTGTGCCGGATGCAAGTGCTTTGCTAGAGCCCTGGGGTCTTGTCCTGCCTGGCAGATGTGGGTGCAATATGCTGCTGCACCATCTGGCCTGTGTGCTCTGCAGTTCCTGAGATCTGAGGGGGTGTTGCTGTAACAGCAGCAGCTGCCAAGTAACTGGCTCACAAGACTTTCTTCTTTGCACTTTCTTGCAGCATTGCTGTTGCCATAATGGCCCAAAGGGCCTTACCGAATCCCTTTGCAGACTACGACAAGTCTCTGGCTACGGGATACTTTGACTCTTCAGGGCGGGTGAGTTGGGGGCCATAAGAGATTTAATTTGAGATTGCTGTAGTGTTTCTTTCTAAAGAAGCAGCTAGAGTCTGTTGGAGCTTAATTTTTCTTTCCTTCTGTTGACATGGGGTGGCACTGATTCCCAGCATGCTGCCTTTCCACACCGCTCTGCACACTGCTGACATAATTCAAAGTGTCCATGCCCATGCTGTCCATTGTATGATAGCTGTCCGACCTCATGGCTCCACTTCCTTGGGAATCTCCTGGGTTTGAGCGTGCAAAGAGGGGTTGCTGCCTTGTCTGTGCACTTCTGCCTTGTCTGTTTTTCTACAGGACAGTTTTGGGGGTTGTTTTTTTTTTACCTTTTATGATCCCTTATAGCAACTAAAAATTTCAGTGGCTTCTGGTTTAGATGCACAAAGGCATAAGCCAGGGTAAATGCTGGTGTTTTACAGGGTCAGAAGGTAAAGGGGACATCTCAACTCTAATCAGAGGTTTGAATGAAAAAGAAAAATCCAGTCCACGTAGCATGTACCGTGCCAGCAGAGGTGTGTGGTAGATAGCACATGTTGCAGACAGACTCTTGGGGGATTTTTCTTTAAAAGGATGTATATACAGTTTAAAGAAGTTAATGCATATGGAGAGAGAACCAATTTGCAAAGCAGCTATCGATGACATTGCAAACAGGATTATGACTTCTTTTGAGTCTGAGACTGAATAAATAAGAAACAAAGCTTCTGATTTTCCACTGCCACTTGCTGAAGAAGTATTAATAGGAGAGGCAGCTGCTCCAGACATGTACAGATTGGAATAATGCTGACCTTCTCTCCAAAACTAACTTTATGTGTGTTCAAGAGGTCTTAATTAAAAAAAAACACAAAAAACTGCATAGCTTCTGTGCCTACATCTTCCAGGAGATGCTTGTATATAGGTTGGAGCTAAAGTGCATTTTATTATAATCTCTGGAAAGGGGAAATGAAAGGATCCACAGTCCTTTGGCGAGAGGGGTAATCTGAGAAGATGCCTGGGAGCTCCAAACTCTTATCAGCAACTCTGTGGCCTTGGGCACATCACTTAACCTCTCAGCTTTGGTGTGTCTATCGCTAAAATAAAGCTGCATTATGCAGGGCTGCTGCAAAACATAAGGAACTTTGTGAAGCTCTTTGAAAGCCAGGTGTCCTGGGTAAGTGCTAAGTATTTTGCTGATACGATGCATCCAAAGACCAGAGTAGTACTGTTCATTTTGGCACCTTCATGCCCACCTGTTCAGACTAGTGTTTCTGAGGCGTGCATCTCAGAGCCAGGGAAACATGCCCTAGCATGTAGTAGGTACAAGTTAGAGATGATCTGAGCCCTGGTAGTTTCTGCTTTGCTTTGAAAAATAAGAAGAGATTTGCAGATTCTCAGCTTCAAGGAGGCAAGACCTGGACCACCGTAGGAATAATCCCAGAAGGTGCAACACATCCACTGTCTTATCAGATGTAAGGAGCACCTTAAAAGCTCTGACCTTTTTTTTATTTGAGGACAGTCATTGGATGGTGGTGTTTTACCTCATTTTGATGCAGTTATCACCTGAGGTTTTTATCTTGCACTCTTTCATTGAGATCTGCGTTTAGAGTCTCATCCCACTGAGTCATTTCTGAGTCACTGCGTTCTTTTCTCTGCTTTTTCTTTCAGAAGCAAATAAAAGAGTCTTTGGCCATACATAAAACAGAACAGATCTTGGGTGTCTTAACCACATTCCCTGGAGCAAAAACAATAATCACAATTTATTGCACAAAATACTTTTCATGACAGGCTCTGGAAAATGGAATCAAACAAGCAGAACTAGTTCAGAATCTTTAAGCTCAGGGAACAGGACCCGGGAGATGTTGTTTAGGTTAATACATTAAAGAGGGCACAACTAAATGTATTGCAGCCTCTAAGTTACTGCCATGGCAGATTACACAAAATATACATATGTAAAAGAGTTCACTCTGTGTGTGTGTGTGTGTGTGTGTGTGTGTGTGTGTGTGTTAAATAAGATATGCTAGTGGGATCTACTAAACTGCAGATTTCTTTTTCCAGCCTCTTCAATTTAGTAGTGTGTGACTGCTTATGGCATGCCATTTAATAATACGCAATACGCGCTTCCAGGTCACACAGTCAACTCTATTAACTATATACATCCCCAAAAAAAGAACCCCAAAAGGCACTTGCTTTCTGAAACCTTGCTACCCTCATTGTACTCTCCCAACAAGGCATATGGAAGGGATCTGTACATATACCCACAACCAGACCTGACATGAGTCATTCTGTTGCATGTGAACTCCTAACTACATTTTCCACCTTGAATGTGGAAACAAAACCCTATGCTAGGGACTGGCAACCTTCGTAAGCCACAAACTGGAATAACTTGGCTCCAGTGCAGTGCAGGCCAGATGGCATCGGCAACACATCATTAGTAAAGGGGGTTTGCCCACACCCATGCTGGAACCTGAAAGCTGGGCGCTGTGGTGGCACCACTGCCCCTTTTGCCAGCTCCCCAGTTTGGACACGAATGCAGCTTCCAGCTAGAGAGAAGCTGCACTGGAGCCGGAGAGCTGGGAGATGTGCCCATGCCATCACTGCTTCTCCCCATCCCCCACTTCCAGGCTGCTGTCCAGGCACAGTTTTCATCTGGTGCGGAGTTGCACCAGGGCTGAGCAGCTGGAAGATATGTCAACACTGCTGCCACTTCTCCCTGTGCCCCCTCTTAACCTCTTCCGGTGGCAGAGTGGACACAGCTAGAAGCTGGCTAGCCCCAGCTCAGGTCCCCGCTGACTGGAAGCTGCACTGTACTGCCACCAAGATGGGAGAGTGAGAAGCAACAGCAGCATAGGTACAGCTGGAAACTGCCCAGCCCCAGCTCAGTTTCCCACCAGCTGGAAGGAGCAGGGAGCCAAGGAGCTGGGAAAAGTGGTGACAGTGTGGGCACAGCTTCTGGCAGCCCCTGGCTGTGCAGGACCGGCACAGGTACAGGCAAAGGGAAAGCCTGGCTCCATAGGCCAGATCCAGTGGCTCTGGCCTGCATTTGTATGTTGCTGCCCTCTGCCTTATGCTTTTGCTTAAGATCCTTTACTCATTAATGGATTCTGTTCAAATTAAACAGAGGGCATGCATCTGTACAGTATGGTAGATATTTTAGTGTTATGATATGAAGCCATTTCCTAGGCCTGAGAAATCTTATGTTACAGGTACGTTCAGTCAACTATAGTAGTTCAAGAGACAGTGAACTTGCTGTTGCTCTGAATGGACTGTAGTCATAGTTGTGAGCATGTAACAGGATCTACAAATTAATTTATTTTTTTCCAGCCTGCTGCTTGGTTTCATTAACTTTTTTTTCCCTAGGACAAAGCAATTAAAATTTGCCTGTAGGAGAATAAATAAAATGTTACAGTTCATGTAAGAAAATACAGCTGCTTGGAAAATCATGTCCCTTGATGAATATTAGGTTTTAAAAAAATCATTACCTAGGGGGTTTTTTTTAACATTACCTAGCATGTTTTTTAACAATATTAAAATACAGGGAGGCTGGCTATGAAAGGTTGAAAAGGGGAGGATCCCTGCTACATAAGATGGTGGCAAGAAGCATTTCATTAGTGGGTACTGGCTTCTGGGTGTTGCAGAGACTTCCTGGATCACAAGGATTTGACCAGAATTACCTAGTAAGCTTGGCCTCCTCTCTTTGGCCAAAACTTTGAGGAAACTAGGTACCAGTTAGTTGTCTATTCAATTCAATGAGAACCAGGTCTCTAACTCCCATACATACTAAAGCTTTGCTCTTATGTAGCATTTTTCAGTCATGAATCCCAAAGTGCTTTACAACAAATAACAATTGCATTATCCTCATTATACAGATGGGAGAAACTAAAGCACAAGAGGCAGCCATTTGCTCAAGACCATTGCCAGAGATGTGGGTTTGGGGACTGTCTTAAGTCCTAGCCCAGTTTCATAGTTGGTAGCGTCAGAAGGGACCTAAGTAGATCATCAAGTCCAACCCCCTGCCCTGGGCAGGAAAGGATGCTGGGTACTTAGGCCTTTTGAAAAATCCGGCTCAGAGAACAGTTCATATCCTCCTTTGCATCACAGATTTAGTAGCATAAACACACTTTATATGAAAAATCTGGCAAAATGATTCAAATGAATCAATAAGCAGAAAGGGGGGGGGAAAGGATGTGTTCAGCGGCATTATACAAGTGTGCCCAAAGCCTCTTCATAACCATGTTGCTTTTTGTTAAATTTGGTAGGGCCTGAATCCTTAAGATCGTATCTTACACTGGTGCGTATTGGAAGTAACTCCACTGATGCCAGTGGAACTGCATTGTCTGAATGAGAGGAAGATCAAGCCTATCGCACTTCACTGCCGCTTACAATGCCAGCCATTAAGATCTTCATGCAGTTGGCTTTCAATCGCGAGTATAGCACCTCGCAAACAGAGGGAGTAAATTAAAACGCCTCACTCTCCCTTGCATTTTCATCCCTTTAAGAGACAGTAAATCTGACTAGTCAACCAGAACTGTGGAGTCATGCAAGCATGCTGGAGCTCAGTGGTGGTCCTTTCTGGAGTGTTGGCCTCTGAACTTAGCCACTGGGCAAGATGGTTACAGGCACTAAACCCAGGTGGCACACTGGGGCTGTGGCAGGAAGGCCTTCCTGAAATAAGAGGTTTATATTCCAGTTAGCCCTTCCTAGATATAGCAGCAGCTAGCTGAACATGGAAAACAGCATTTCTGGCTGTGCTTGATCTCGGAGATGCCCAGGCCCCCCAATGTAAACCCTTCATTCCTCCAGGCACATTCAATGATTGAATGAGTCCTTACCCAATCTATTTGCTGATATTTACTTATTTATGTTATTTGTTTGCTATCCACAGCTGACTCCTGAGTTCACTCAGCATCTGAACAACAAGATCAGGGAGCTGCTCCAGCAGATGGAGAGAGGCCTGAAATCTGCCGACCCCAGGGACTGCACTACGTATACTGGTTGGGCAGGTAGGGCAGTGCAGCAACAAGGACATTTGAACTAGCCATCTGTTCAAAACAGAGCAAGGCTGTTTGTAAGCTGCCTTCTAGATTAGGCTGAATCAGATGCTGAATTCTCTTAAAAAAAAAATAGGAAGCTTTTAATGACAAAGAAGTGTTGTTTCTAACTGATACAAGCCATGACACCTTGCAGCAGAAGACATCATCTGATTCCATGGGCAACTGGTGCCTCCTGGCTCTGGGGGGGCACCAGCTGCTGGTCGCCAACGGGGAGGTGCCCCAGCAACCAGAAGTGGCAGCAATCCACAAGTGCTGCTGGCGCTTGCGGCCAGTCACTAACTGGGGAAGGGTGAGCAGGGGACAGCAAACCGAAAGTGCCACTGGCGCTTCTCGGGGGAGCACCAGCCAGTACTCCCCGGCCGGCAAGGGCCAATTTTGGGGGGGGGGGGGGCACATGCCCCCAGTGCCTCCCCTAAACATCGCCTATGTCTGATTCCTCTCACCATTCCTCCTGGTTTCTGGCAGCTGAATTCAGGTTGCAGACACAAGGCATGTGTGGCATTGAGCTACAATGCTGGGTATGCTCTTGATCCGTTCTGCTGAATTAGTGGACCACTGTAGGTGATTCCTCCATGGGCCAGCATACAAAAGCTTCCATTTGTACAGTCCACAGCTGTGTCCCCTATAGATACGCTATATTCTGTCTCTAGCAGGAAAAGTTAGGTAGGTAAAGCAGGCAGGAATTAGCTTACATTGGTGAAATTCCAACTGCCTTTGGGAGGAAGCCAAGAGTAGCCATAAGAAGCTTTGTATAAGCTTTGACTACAGCGATGAAGTGATGAGTAAAGCAAAGGGTAAAATTTCCACCCAATTTTATTTGGAAAGGAATTGCTTCAAAGGGTTTCTTCCATCCCTGTTACCATCCCCTCTCCCCACCCTACCCATGGCCATTCCTTTTAGCTACAGAACCTCCTTGCCTGGCCTAACAGGATTAGAATTTAGGATAAGCCTATGAATGGTTTCTTGCAGGTCACAGCCAGAGAAACAGAGTATGCAGATATTAGTCTGTATACATTTCCCCCTTCTAATCCTAGCTGTATTAATTTATTCAATGTAGTTTCCAGAGAGAAAATTAATTGAGCCAAGGCAGCAGCTTTTCCTCTTAATTGCTTATGTAGAAAAGGCTTGTTGAGTATCTTCTCATGTAAATCATCACCCAGCAGTCTGAAATCAATCAGCACTCTAGTGGCTGCTAATAAAAGATATTTGAAATGAATAGCCATGGTGCTCTCGGTGAAAATTCTCTCTTTAAAGTGTTGTACACTTGAGCATACTACATTATGCCTAGTAATACATGGCATATGCTGGCATTTGATTTGCGATGTACTCTCTGTCCATAGCACTTTCCATAGATTCTTTCAGGAATCTGATCCACTGACCTCCAGGGAAGTCCCATGCCAAGACACTTTAAGAGGAGGAGGGTCTTCAATATTTTTACTGTTTCTAAGAGAATTTTAAAATTTACTGATACTCAATGTCAAGTCCATCCAGATTAATGAACAGGAGGACCCTTGGAATACATTCTTAAGTTCTATCCCAATATTTTCTACCATCCCCAGAGATCAGGGCACTGCACAAAAACACAATATTGGTTTATAGATGGAGATCAGCTAAATACAATTTTATATATAAAGCACAAGCTTTTGTGCACCCAAAGTCGCTGCTTTGTGAAATTGGGTTCATAAAACTTTGTGCTTTACATATGTATCTTCGTTATCTTATAAAGATGCGTATCTGCCCTGCTTTTTGACTGACTTCAGACTAAGATGCCTCACCACCTCTCTGTAGATGTGGATGTTAGTTTCAGTTAGAAGTTTCTTAACCAGGTTAGCTAAGATGGTGCAATACACTGTGTAGACAGTTAAATTTAAAGCCTGACTTGTATCTACTTAGTTTGCATTGGTACGTTGCTACTAGCCTAAGGTGAACTGCTGTGAGCCAACCAATAAACTGATTCAGATCCCTGCGTGGACCCTGAATTGTACTACTTTCAAAACAGATTTTAATTAACCCATTGCACTGCCCACTGGACTAGGCTGTCTCTCCCTGCCTATGGGCGTAAGCTGTAAATTGAAATGGAACAGGGAAAACTGGCCTTAAGAGATTTGCAGCTTGTGTCCTATACAGAAATGGTCAGCTCCTCTGTGTATGCCAAGAAAAGCTCATAAAAGGGACATCAGGTCCTTGCAGAACAGGGAGATGATAGTGCAGAAACTCATGATCCTTGCAAATGCATGTGTTTCAAGATGTTAGGCAATGTTTTAGAAAACGAGGTTAAGTTACTGCAGCCCCAGGACAGTAGTAATTTACATACTGACCTTTCCAAGCCATTATTATGGTTTTCAAGGAGTTATTTACTCTCCAGCTCAGAAAATATACGTGCTGGTTTGTCTTGCCAATTTATCATATGCTTCTTAGATGCCTGAGGGACTCTGAGCTCTTCTGAAACAAACAACATGTAGAGAGCCATGTGTCCTCTTGATGAAGTATTTAGTTAGTAGGATAAGCTGGTGAGCCGGGTATGGAAAGAAGCTGTATTGTGTGCTACCAGGCAGTGAGTCTTCCCATAAATAGTGGCTTGGGATTTTGTATCAAACACAGAAGTGCTTCTGTAGTTACTAGTAGGTTTGGAGTATTGTTGTAGGCATGATGGTCTAGAAAATAAGCGAGAAGCAAGAGACCTGAAGAATGGCACTTTTTGCCTGAAAGCTTGTTTAACATCTCCCAACTATACAATTGGTCTGATAAAAGATATAAAAAAGACCCTTGCTTCTCTGTAGTAACTAACATTTGAAACTTTCTGGCAGCGAGGGAGTAGAGAAGTACATGATTTGGAGTACCTGAGTGGGGGCACATGATTTGGAGAAAGGCCGACCACCAAGATGATCCTTGTAGGCTCTGAAATAGTGCATGGATAATGATGTGGGCTTTCATAAGGTAGAAAGTGATTGGATTTGAGTGTCAAAGACTAGTTTTGTTGACTAACCAGGTAACGGAGGGAAGAGTCAAGTATTTCTGTATAACTAGCTTTGACTGGGGATAGAAAGCTAGACTCAAAGGGTATTGGGTGCCGAAGTCCAAAAGTTAGATCGTTAGAACTGCTTGTAGGCTGCGGCCTAAGCCTGGAGACACCTAACATTTTCACCAGCAAAGTTCCCCAGGCAGTCAAGTCCTGAGGCCATTGAATTTCTGGGTGCTTAAAGCCTGGCAGGATTCACAAACCAGGAGCCGCCCTATGTTGCCCTTATCAGTTTTTATGTTAACTGGTCCAAAATGGAGAGGAAGATAAAAAGGCATGGCTGGGAATGCTCTCAGTCTTAACAAAATGCAGGATGCTCAGATTACAGTAATGTAGGTGATGCGACTCCCCAGTGAGTTAGTGCGATATTGCTCGCTCCACTCTCCAGATGAGGAACTGAGGCACAGCAAAAGTTAGAGTGGGTGATGACGGCACAGGTAGGCTTCCCTGCTCTAGCTTTAATGTAACTTAAACTTAGGCAGAGGCTAGCAATCAGGGCACGTAACCAGCCTCCCCAGCAGGCCAGTGCAGCCTTGCACAAAAGTCTGCATTACCACATTAGAACTGCTGTTGCTACTGAAGCTGGCTAAATTAAAACTAGTGCCCACCCACCTGTTTGGGCTACAGTCACGCTTCCCATCTGCGGTGCAGATGCGCTCTCAGGACTGCATACAAGAAAGGACAATTTTTCTATTTTATATTCGAGATCTAGTGGATTAAATACAGACACAGGCCAAGGAGCAGAACCTTTCATTCCCTGTTCCCAGCTGAGTACTCTGACCACTGCCTTACAGTCAGGCTCCTCCTTGAACCCTCTGTGTCCACGAGTCCTGAATTCTCTGCACATGTGCATACTTTCAACCAAAGGGGTGGGGAGTGCTCTCCACATAGTTTAGCCTCTATCCTGGTGTTTCAGGTACTCTCTTGTGAGTTATGAGTTTAACTCAGAATGAGAATGGCACTGAACCCAGACTTCCCATTCCTGGGGCAATAAAGTAACCCATGGGCTATTATATAAAGATGGGTGCCATCACTTTCTTTTAAAAAGAAAAGGGCCACCTGGCAGATCAGGACCTCCAGAATCTGACCCTATATGTTCCTCCGCTATTTTAGCTGTAAGGCACAGAAGTGGGCTGAGGTGCTTAAGTTTGTTTCTATTCCATTTTGCTTGAGTGTCTAAAAAGCAGCTCGTACAAAAATGGGAGGCGGGGAGGTTGGGGGATCCTTCTCACTGCTTTTCTGGGACTCTGTTGTAAGGGTCGGGTGATGGTGCGGTAGAAATAAACAGATTTTCAGGAATTTCAAGCAGGGTGGACAAGGATCATGCGTAAGACACCTAAGTCCGGGTAGACGACTAACAGATAGAAGAGAACCTAACCCCTAGTTTCTAGATCTTGGCAGGCTTTGTTAGGCACTTCAGGTCAGGTCTGGATATTCCTAGAATTGTGCCTGTCTAAATAGCTCGTCCCCTCTGGAAATCTGAAGTGAAATAAGGAAGAACTAGTGAGTGTAAAGACCCCCTAAGCCTGGGCTTTTGGGGCATTTTTACACGTGGTGTGGAACATGGTGCCAGGCGCTTTAAGTAATGAGCTGTGCTAATTAAAAGCGCCCACACATCACGTGCATCAGTGTGAAACAATGGCAGCAGGGTGCTTTGAACCAAAGCTCATCAGACATGTTTTATTTCAAAGCGCCCCACCACCATTTTTTCAGTGCTGATATACGTGACACGGAAAGCTGCTGGAGCACATCAGTTTTCGTGCTCCAACAGACTTAATTAATTGAGTCTGCTCCCACGCTCTTTCCAGCACATCAGAGCAGGCTCCACGTACATGTATAAGAGCCCTTTAGTTTCAACTTGTGTGCAAAACTGTTTCAGCCTAAGTGGCCTGCCCAAGGTCACACAAGGACTCAGTGGCACAGCAGGGAA